ATTCTAGATGTTAGGAAGCATTTCTGAACACTTTAATGAATTGCATAAGGTTAAAGACTTTTTGTACTGTAAGTATTTGCTCAGGTTCTGTTATTTGAAGTAAATTGGTTCACCTGATACAGAGACACTCAAATGTTCAACAATGCCAGCCCTTCCATGCTGCTCTTGGCCTTCTTATATCTTTGCAGATTTTGATACAAGCAGCCTTACCAAGGATTTTATCTTTGTTTCAACGTAAGTCTATGTAAGGTTGGAAATGGACAGTATGTGGGGATAAACACTGTTTCAGATCTTCTTGCTATACTTTTTTGTTTGTTTGTTAAAAGCAAATTCACCTATATTCATATTTGGTTATTTAAAAGTGCACAAAATACAACGGTCCTTTCCTACAAAATAGTTTCAAAAGTCAGGTAAATGAGCTTCCTTTTTAATCCAGCTAAGCAAACTCAATAAACTTCAGTACCAGTTTAGTAATGTCCTTCAACTTGTGCTGTAAAAAAGAAGTCTTAAGGGCACGATGTTATTTTGTTTACATGTTTGCTTAATTTATGCCCCACCTTTCTCCCCAGTGGGACTGAAAGCAGCTTTGTGAATAACAGAGTTCCACTTTAAGAATATTAATCCCAGCAGCAATTTGGGTCTGTCTCTTTCTGGAGACCCCCCAAAGAAAAATCCTATCTATAGGTGAGAGAACTTCCACATGATGTCCAATTTGACTTTACACTTAATGTACCACCTAAAATTAATCTTCAGCTTTGCTAGTTAACCACTATGCTTTTTTTTTTTGCTTGTACCATTTTCCAAGAGATGCATGTGATCCAATTAGCACTAGGGCATATCCAACCAACTGTTGGCTCTTGTATATTCAGATGGAGAACGACCATTGCGTTGTAGTCCAGACATACATTGGTGTACCTACAAGCAGTGTTCCCTCTAAGCTGAGTTAGTGTGAGCTAGCTCACAGTTTTTTAGCCTCCGGATCACACATTTTTGTCTTTGCTCAGGAAGGATGGCTCCAGAGCCAACTACTTTATGCAGCAGCAATTTTAATGCCAGTAGCTCACAAAGAATTTTTGCTCAGAAGACTCCACAGCTTAGAGGGAGCATTGCCTACAAGTATAATTAATATAATTAAGGCTGCAATCCTATGCATGCTTACCTGAGAGTTAGTCCCAATAAACATTTCTGACTGTGCTTATGTTACTGTATCTCTCTGTAACGTCTCCTTCATTCGGGTATAAAACTATTACAAGCCAGACCCTTGAGCTCAGTTCTTTATGTTATGCTCTACAATATTCCCTCTCTTCCTTTTGTGTTCCTGCTTAGCCTACACACTGATGAGAGGTCTGGTGATCTAAACAACTTCCTTACTTCATTGCTTTTGCTTATGTTAGTCCTAATAGAGTTATTACATCACCGAAGCTTATTTCCTTAAGTTATTCAAGCTTGAAAAAGTAATGTTTGATAGCCTCTCACCTTTAGAAAACTCATGCTGTTTGCTGGGTGTAGTTTGACGATGGAAGACCTTTCTTTCAAACATACTTGTCTAACCCATGTCATTTTCACTTTACATTTTATTTCTGTTTAAAGGTTTAGAATTTAGGGCCTAGGGATCAAAAGGTCTCAGAGCATGGGCAGTTAGTAATTTTGCTCACATATCAAGAGCCCCACCCCCTCAAAAAGGGGAGAAGGTATTGGATGTGTAGCACTCATTTTGTGATCACCCATATGAGATTCGCTCAGAAGATCTGCCAGTATGTTTCAGATGCTGGCAATGTGAATTACCTGAACAGTGGTGATATGTGTTAAGTGCCATTTCCATATATCCCTGCTAGTTCAGACAGAACATCACAGTGGTGTTTTCTGTGGCTACCTGCAGAGTATTTTGGATTAAGTCCACAAGGTCATATTTGACCGCTCTTAACTCCATGACATCTATATGCAGTTTCTTCTTCAGAGGAGACTTTTTAAAAAACAGTGTAACCCTGCCAATGAACTCCGCATCCAAGTGGAAGTATCTGTTGTCAGTATTACAGGCTGACAAATAATGGAATATGCACTAAGATTTTTTTTAAAAGATGCTCAACAAAATAGAGAGTGAATGAGGGTGCTATGGATGCTCAGTGTGAGGGTTTGATATGAGATGAAAATGTCACACAAACCAATTTTGTAGGGATGGTATCCAAAAACATGTGAATGGCATAGTCATAGCCATCAATGCCATGAGCCCCAGCAGCTTCTGAACATTTGGAGTGGTTTTAAAGTGACAGGTTTGGAGCTTCCTCATATGAAGAGCCAATGTGAGAGTTAGTGAGGCCAAACCCAGTCTAACCTACCTCAAAGAATTGTTGTGAGGATAACATGGAGGAGAGGAGAACAACGTAAGCTGGGTCTCCATTGGAGAGAAAAGCAGCATAGAGATGAAGCAAATAGGTCAGAAATCAAATGACCCTCACATTTTCTTGGGGGGAGGAACGTCTTTTGAACAGAGTCCAAATATTTCCCTTATAAATAGGTTGCACTGAGTGGGGAAACGTTTTGATTCCTCTCAGTTCATGTGCAGCCCCAAACCCTGGGTTGTATATACAATGAGTTGAAAGTGATGTAATAGGAGGCCTTAGGAATTTACTATTTGTCTAGATACAGGAAGTTGGTACATCCTTGTGGCCTTAACTGGGCTACAGAGGTGGCCTTAACCTCTGAGGATACACTTTGGGGCTGGAGAAAGCCAATACAACAGGACAGGAATCTGGATTTGGCTATGAATCTTTGAAACTTCCTTCTGCCCCGATAAGCAGATAGATTGCAATATTTTATATACGGCTGTTGGAAGTGTTATACTGGGCACCTATAAGCTTTATTATATAAAGTGTGTTTGTGTAGGATAATAGATTTTGTGTAGCTATACCTAAGGATTTAGTAGTGTTTCTACATTTCTTTGTTTTAATACAGCCTCATCGGTGAGACTGGACTCCAAGTGGAAGATCTTTAATCTTTATGTCAGTCTTTTTTGGTAAAGCAGGTGACCCAAGTCAGGTGTTTCATCTGAGGCAAACTGCTGAGGCCAGACTGTGAACAGTGCAGCCTTCAACACGTTAGACAGTGTTAATCTGTTGTTTGGATGGCTTCACAGCATCAAACTGTAAGACACTTCTCTGTTTATTATCCTCAATGATAAATTCTAAGTACAGGGTCATGTGTCCCAACAGGAAATCTTGGTAACGACTCATTATAACCTGATAGCTTGCTATTTTTAATTATAAGACTTTCTGAGCATATCCAGCTTCTAGCCTTCTTTGTCTACTGGGAGTGAATGAGTTGTCTTACTCTGGAGAGCAAGACCAAAGAATTTGCCAGAGGGTATAAAAAGAGAAAGGAACATCTTTCCTGAATAGTTTTGCATATATTCTTGATACTTTCCCACCTTTTTATGGATCTAATGTTGGTTTTAAATAAAGGCCCACAGCTGCTCACTAAAGGGCTTTAAAGCTTCACTAGGCGAGATCAGGCTCATATCTCCCAATGTGTCATCTGGAGTTGATTTAGATATATTCTCTGTCTCAGAATAAAAGTGGGAAGAAGATTCTGACAGTATCAGACAGTGACAGAGTTGGCAAAGTCTTCATGAAGAGTTTCTAGAACTGAGCACTGAAAAGTCAAAGCATTCCCCAGTTGTTTAGTTATGATGCTCTGACAATGTTTAGAAATGATGTACAATATTTTTGGTCCTGGAAGCTAAAAAAATCTCATTTTCCGTTCATCATCATATGCAAAACAAGGTAGTGGATTGCAAATGGAATAGCTTCCAAAAACATCTATGGTGGTAGTTTGAATGGGGAAATTTGTCTGAGCCTCAGCTTGTATTGCATAGATTCCAAGATGGTGCACAGGGTTCTTCCCAAGTCAGAGGAAGAATAATCCGGAGTTGATGAGGCAGCAGTATACCATCATCAATTCATCCCTTCAAAATGGTAAATATACTGCCCACATTGTCATATGGATACGGAGAGGGATTCTGGTAATCGCTAAAAAGTCTTTGCTTTTTTTCTAAGACCAGCTATCTTGACAAGTTAGGCAATATGCCAACTTGGATACATTGGGTTTCTTTTTGTGTTTAGATTGTTGGTGACTTCTCTGTGTGTTTTGATATTGATCTTTATTAAAGTACCGTCTTTCCCATTGTGAAATGCCTTGACTTTCACTTTCTTTGCTGTAGATTTTGAGAGAACTCAAGCAGCAGTTATGCTTGATGCTATACAACTGGACTGCTTTTCTGTAAGCCTTCAAGCACAGGAGAAGGGGTAGTTGGTAAGGGAAAGTCAACTGTATGAATATATATTTCAGGATAGGAAAAGTGAAGATAAAATAAATTCTCAGAAGAGCAGTCATGGAGCTGCTTACTATGAGGTGAGCAGAAGAGAACTGAGTGAGAAGGCCATTGCCCCTCCCACTGAGGCATATAACAAGGGACAGTATCTTCCTTCAGATATTTACTGGCTCCTGCTGCAATAAATTAGATTGATTGAGTTCTAGAACATTCTGGAGCTGCTTCTGGGGTAACACAGAACCCATATATAGAGAACCTCAGAGACTATGAAAAGAAATCTCTATGAATTAAGTTGTGGCCAATGCTCCCTCTAAGCTGCGGAGTCTTGTGAGCAAAAATTCTACTTTGTGAGCTACTGGCATTAAAGTTGTGAGCCAGCGATTTGGCTACTGCATAAATTAGTTTGCGCTGGAGCCATCCTTCCTGAGCTAAGACAAAAATCTGTGAGCCGGAGGTTGAAAAACCGTGAGCTAGCTCACACTAACTCAGTTTAGAGGGAACACTGGTTGTGGCAACAGAAATCTTATTAATATGCCAAAAACAGTGTCCATTAAGAAGGGCTGAATGCTCACTTAAATTCTCTAAGCAGTTCCCTTCTCGCAAACAAAACACAATACTCTTGTTAGAACAAATCTACACCTTATAGGAAGAACACATCTTTATTCCTTTCTGCTCAGTCTTCTTCCTTCTGTCTCCTCCTTCGGAGCTGGAGCTGCAGCTGAAGTTTATTAGTGAAGAAGAACTGCTTCCAGCCGATTTCACGAGCCAGTGCTGTCATTTCTTCAGTAATATGACCACACAAATTTTGCACAATCATTTCCCACAGTGCATCAGAGTTGCATAACTATTTGTAAAAGTAAACAAAAGGGTGTTAGTAAGTCTTAAACACTGTCCAGACAAAAATCAATTTCCCATATCAGAACAAAATAAAGGGGGAAGGGAACCTCCCTCCAGTTTTCAGCAGTAGCTGCAATGAAAGCAGACAGAAACAGTAGACAAACACTGGTGAAATTAACAAAAGTTTATTCTGATAAACTGTATCATCCAGCACAGTAAGAGCAGTGAAGCAATCTACACTGTGAAACTGACAGGACTGCCCTCCCCCCATATTGTGAGGAGGGGGCAGGGGAGGCCATTGCCACATATGTGCAATTCCATGGGGAAACACGGTGGAAGTGTGACTGTATATCCACCTTCCTGTATAGCCAATTAAATGCAATGAAAATTGTATCTCTGTTTTTTAGACATGGTGCAACAATGAGAGGCTCAAAAGTCTAAAATAGTATCTGTGAAATACTGTCTAGTTTCAGTCTTCACAAAATTATCTCTGTCCATAAGGGCATGTCTAACACATAGCTCATGATACGTACAGCCCATATAATGAACACCACAGCTTTCTCCTTGAAATAAAATGGATACATATAACCATATTTGACAAAAATGTACTACTCTGTTACTGTAAACATCTGCAAAGGCATTCTAGTACAAGGCCCCTGAAGCCAGTGACTTGGACTGGAGTAACTATACATAACATTGCACTGTATATTGTAAGGTATATTGTAAGGTGGTGGTGATGAAACTGCTGGCAGCATGTAATTGCCATACGGGCCAGGTCTTAAGCAGTCATCTCAATCTCAGCCATTGATTTTGAAATGCAAGTCCTATCTCTGACTTTTAAAACTTAAAGTTCGGTGAACTGAAAGGCCCAGTGTAATGGAATGTTGCCTACACAGTGCTTTATGGGTTAGCTTAGTGATTATTTTCTCTAGCCCATTCAAAATACTCAGGATAGGAGGAACATGTGATGGTGGCTTATACAGAACCATCTAAAACCAGCACTGGCTCCTCTGACTTACAGCTTCTCTCCAAGGTCAGAGGTCGATGACATGCTATCTGAGATCCTTTAAACTGGAAATGCCTAGAATGGAAGCTGGACTTTCTGCACACGTAGCTTATGATCTACTGTTGAGCTCCACCCCTCCCAACGACAGTGTTCCAACCCAAAATGGCAACAGTATACACAAAATACCACTCTTAAGTGAATATCTTGTTTTCCCCCCTCATCAGTTCCTAGATGTCTGCCAAAATGAAAACTTCTTCTACTGCTTCCTGAAAACACTCAGGCCTGGAGGCAGGCAGGCTTCCAGGAAAAAAAGAATTCTAAAGCTGGATAAGGGCCACCAAATAAGATCTGTTCCCTTCGTAACTTTTTTACTGATGCACAATGACTATTTTCAAAAGCTTGCCCAAAAGCATACCACAGAGATTACAACGGGACATGAGAAGAAAGCAGTGTTAGGGTTTAAGGGTGGCCTTTAGAAACCGGCCAGTTATTAAAGAGATGCACTGTTCTGCAAGTAACAGTCATGCAGCAAAAATGAAAAGTACTGCTATTTTTTCAGCTGCACGCAAAATAGTTTTTATGTTATTGGAGAAGAGGGTAAGGAAAGGAAACGAAAGGGGTCCTTTTGCAGCATGCTGGTGAGAATTAGTATAATGGAACTGTGTTGTGACAAAAGCCAATGACGTAGATCTGAAAAAAGTTATTTATGTTTTGTAATAAAGATAAAACTGATATGCTATTTTGTAAGAGTATGAGATTCCTAGTTACCATTCTAGTGCAGCTTGACATAGATAATAAACAAAGAATGAATAAGTATCATGTTTTTTTAAATAGTAAAAATCTATTTTAAACTAATTATAGTCGTATAATGTTCTATTTAGTTGTAAATCAACATATATTATGAGCTATATCAAGTAATAACTATTCTTTAAGGAACTATATGGAAATACAAATGGAGAACTTGTTTTAGACTGTTAATTATATTTTAATCACAGACTGAAACTGCTGGTTCGAATTCTGTTACATTCAGGAAAGTAAAAGATGTCATTACATTTAATTCGTCAAATAGTAAATTAAAATATCACATGGAAAGAGCACATTTTAATCCACAACACAACAGGACTTAATTTCAATGACCGCAATAGAACAGTGCCCTGCTTAAAGCTAAACTATTCTAGTTTAACTAAAACTGAGTTAGACTGGTACTTGGTAAAGGAAGTACAATACACCAAAACCATGTACAGTAAGAAGCACTATGGTATTACTGCTCGGCTTTCATCCCAGTTATACTGATTTCAGATTGCAAAGCAGTCAAATGTCAGGTGTTCTCATTTAAACATGGACATCAATATGTTGTAGGATTACATGGCTGTAAAGTGAAAGTGGTTCCTTTGTGTGTGTGTAGCACCTTAAAGACCAGTAGCACTTTAAAGACTAACAAAATTTGTGGTAGGATATGAGCTTTCGTGAGTGTGTGTGTGCAAAGTACTGTCAACTCACAGTGGACTTATGGAAACCCCAAGGGGTTTTCAAGGCAAGTGAGAAGCAGAGGTAGTTTACCGTTGCCTTCTACCGTCTTCCTTGGTGGTCTCCCATGCAATTACTGACTGTGCTTAGCTTCCAAGATTTGATGAGATCTGGCTATACCATGCCACCTTCCTCCCTTCCTTTGGGTATAGTATGAATTTAGTTGAATTCCTCTTTTGCTTAGTGTTTAGCTCCCTCTAGTGGCATTTTGTTAGAAATCAGTCCTTGCGGTACATAACCATTTAAAATACTCTAAGTAAATAATGTCCTAGACCTTTATGGGTGCCTTCTATTGAATCTCTGCATCATGAAGGCATACCACAGCTTTTCTTCTATTAAAATAATTATAATTACATCATGCAGGACATTACAGATCAGCTGGCACTCAAATTAATTTTAACTTTGAAACACTGAAACACAAATAGTGGTGTAGTCATTACAACAGGAGCTGCGGTGGCTCAAGTGGTTAAGACGCTGAACTGCAGGCTGTGGAAGGTCAGTAGTTCAGCAGTTCAAGACCTGGGTGCCGCATGACGGAGTGAGCTTCCGTCTCTAGTTCCGGCTCCTGCCAACCTAGCAGTTCGAAAGCAAGAAATTGCAAGTAGATAAATAGGTACCACTTCAGTGGGAAGGTAACAGCGTTCCGTGCACCTTGGTGTTTAGTCATGACCACGGAAACATCTTCGGACAGCGCTGGCTCTTCGGCTTTGAAACGGAGCTGAGCACCGCAACCCTAGAGTCGGATTCGACTGGCTTTCGAGCAAGGGAACCTTTACCTAAGTAAATATTTAGATTTTGAGATTTTACACACACACACACACACACACACACACACACATTCTGTATCAAAAATATCAGCTCTGTCATCACTTGAGTTCTAGTGTTCGTATTAGGGTATTTTAGTAAAACAGGTTTTGTGTTAAAATAAGTGGATGTTGTAGGGTTGCCAGGTCCCCCTGGCCACTGGCGGTGGAATGGGGGGGGGGGATCAGAGGTTCTTTGGTCCTGAACAGGTGGCTCCTGCTGCTGCAGTAGCAGGGAAGAAAACTGAAACAAGGATGCCCCCACAGCCAAGCAGTTGATCTTAGGAAAAAAATAGGACAATGTCGAGGTTGAGATAGAGGGCAGGCATGACCTCTCATGAGATCTCTTGTGAAAACTTGGGGCACTCACCCAGGCATGGGTGGATTGTTCCACACTGTGTAAAAGGGCTGGGTGAACCGCCACTTTCAACAACAGAGGATGGACACTAGAAGGAGGAGGAAGAACATGTATACCAGATATGGTTTCGTATGTAACCAGTAAGGCTTCCCAGAAGACCTGCTCCAGAAGGGCACCAGAAGAACACTGACATCTGGAGCCGCGGGAGGAAGCCGGAAGCCGGATACCAACAAGCCTGGGGTGCTGGTAGGCAGACACTACCCCATTGATAATGTGGCCCTAGTTAGATGAACTCGAATTTGGAACTATATGTAAACCACTCAGAGACCGGCAAAAAGGTTAGAGCGGTATATAAATGGAATGTATAAATAAATAAATAAATAAGGCAGATACTATGGAAGCTTTGTGAGACTGGGAACTGTCAGTTATCCATTAGTTTCAGAAAAGCATTTATAAAGCTTTCTCTGAAAGTTATTGTTGGAAATATGAGCTCCTAAATTTGAGCTGCCTGGATTATTTTAGTTTATGAACATAATTCCTCAGTTTAGGCTTTGATTAACCAGACTGCAACAGATCATACCATGAAAATATAGACAGAATAAGGAACACATGAAATCCCTTCTAACACTGCTTTCTCATGATACACAAATAGTTTATTTGTAATGTGCACAATATCTATAACGTGTGTGTGTATGGGGGGGGGACTGAAAGTGCACAAATAAAAGTGTAATGCAAGGCAGGACAAGGAGTGTGCCTGGAACAGGAGCAACTGTGAATGTTGGGATAAGTAACATTATGAGAGCAATCATAAGCAGATCTGCTCAGAATTAGGCCCCAATTTGTTAAGTGGGGCTTATTCCCTGGACAGTGTTCTTACTTAGGATCACAACCTATATCAAAGAGCTATACTGGTATAAATTAGCTCACTGTAATAATGCTGTCCACATCATAAATTAGCTTTGTTAGCCAGGAACACATGTATGACACGACCTGTTACAGAATGATCCAAATAATATGCCTAGTCCTCAAAAATGCTTGTTTCTTTCCACCCTTATGTGTATTTACCGGAAACACTGCACCAGCCTATTTGAGACTTTGTGATCACTGCCGAGTTCACAAGATATTGTATAAATAAGAAATGAACACCAGTTGAAAGCACCTATCTCTAGACAAGGACTGTTTATACTGAAAAGGAATTGAAATCAAACTAATTTATAACAAAATTTTACCCTTTCAAATCTGTGAGATACTTGAGCAAGCCGGCAAATATCTTCAAGATCCAAATAGGCCACGATGCACAGAAGCAATCGGTCAGGAAGTCGTGCCAGGAAATCAAATTTACCCTGGCACAAATTGAAGATATGATCCAGAGTTCCTGGTCCAAAGATATAGGCTATTTGAACTGCGATAAAAAAAATAAATTAAACCAAAAAGATTTCTGTTGAGTTCTACAACCTCCCAATCATTTTTCTAAATGTAAGTATCTATCTACCCACCCATTTTTATCCCTTCCTCCAAGGAGTTCTAATTAGAAACTTGCATTTTATATAGTAAACACTTTGAAGGTGAGCAGATTTATGTCTGGCCTAGATATGGCAAAGCCCACAGATGATCACAGCAGAAAGTGGCCATCTTAAATTGCTAGTTTCTTCCCAAGTCTGAAAGTTAGTTAGGCTGTTGAATACCATTAGTGTCCAACCACTGGCATTAATAACAAACCGTGGACAGAACTTAGCTAAAAATATGCATATTATATAAGCGCAATCCTTCAAAACATCACTGTTGTAAAACCACTGGAGAAGTTAAGAGTTTCTAGAGCCCTCTGAAAATTAAAACCTACAGAAACTTTTCTTCGCCACACCCCACCTCCCTATTGTTTTTTTTTTTACATAATCACATATGAATATAATTTTATCTATATATCTAATAGCCAACTTGCCCCCTCCGTGCGGATCGCTAAATCAGCACGGAGGGGGCAGGTGGGGGGGAGGGGGAGGTTTGTGCACACGTGGGCCAGTCCCCACGTGTGCACAAAAATGCAAAAAGTTAAAAAAAATTTCGGGGGGATGTTTAAATCCCCCCGAAAGTGCAAGAGCGTCTCCTGCGCATGCGCAGGAGACGCTCT